ATAAATAATAATAATAATAATAATAATAATAATAATAATAATAATAATAATAATAATAATAATAATAATAATAATAATAATAATAATAATAATAATAATAATAATAATAATAATAATAATAATAATAATAATAATAATAATAATAATAATAATAATAATAATAATAATAATAATAATAATAATAATAATAATAATAATAATAATAATAATAATAATAATAATAATAATAATAATAATAATAATAATAATAATAATATTAATAATAATAATAATAATAATAATAATAATAATAATAATAATAATAATAATAATAATAATAATAATAATATTAATAATAATAATAATATTAATAATAATAATAATAATAATATTAATTATAATAATAATAATAATTTTCTTTTTTTTTTTGATAGTCTGAGAATGCCAATCTTTATACACTAACCCAGGGACCCTGCTCGCCAGAGGAACCCTTCACCATTTGGATCCCCCATTAAATTCCCTGGAGTGTCGGGCTCACCGTTGGAATAGGCACTACCGACTAAACTCATGTCCATCCTATTGGCATAGTTAATCCATCCTGGCACCAACATGTGGCATTACTCCTGGATGGCGCCACTGCATCAGGCCCCATTACGGGACTCTCCCTTCTGATCTACGGGGCAGGAGCTTGGAGCAACTTTTGGGGCATGTCTATGTGCCACCCATCTCCCTCTTTTTTCTGCGCAAGGTTGTCCTGACGTACATGGCTACCTTGTTCCACTCCTCCTGACCTCGGAGCATTTTCTCGACAGTGTTGTCTGGCGAGATTTTTCCGAGGTCTTGCTCCAAGTCGAGTCGTTCGACGCACCATCTAACACATTTGAAGAATGTATGGTGGGCGTCGTCGACAGTCGGGTCGCCATAGGGGCAGTTGCCGTCAGCTACCTTCCTCATTTTTGTGAGGTAGGAGCAGAACAGACCATACCCTGTCAAGAATTGAGTGAGGTAGAAGTCGACCTCCCCCACCTCTCTGTTTAGCCAGCTGTCTGGGCGACTAATGAGTCGGGTCGACCATCTGCCCCGATGCTTCTGTTCCCATCTGTTTTACCAGGTCTCGATGCTGGTAGACCTGGCGAGCCTTGATGCCTCCTCCTTTCCTAGAACACACCTTTGTTGGTGGATGAATTGTCTCTCCTAGGCTAATAGATCGATCGGGATTATCCCCGCGACCACTAGCACCGCGGGCTCAGAGACCGTGCAGTAGGTGCTCGCGATTCGGTGAGCACCCCTCCTCTGTACGACAGCGATGCGCTTACGATATTTCTCCTTTTGCAGCACCTCAGCCCAGACTTCAGCGCCGTACAGTATCACTGCTTCGGCGGCACACATCAGTAGTTGCCTCCTGCGAGGTCGGGGCCCGTTGACGTTTGCCATGAGTGTGCCAAGCAAGGCAACTACTTTTACCGCCTTGTCGGCTGCCCTGAGTATGTGCTCGCCATGATTAAGGTTTTTGTCGAGCATTATACCCAGATATTTGACAGCCGACTTAGCCTGGACCGCCGTGTCTCCTACAATGAAGCTGCGCAAGATGTTGATGCGCTTCTTCGTAAGTAGCACCATCTCTGTCTTCTGGGCTGCCAGAGATAGCCAGTGGTCTTCCATCCAGGAGACGACTCTGCGCATGACCTAGTTGAGCAGCAGCTGTGCCCCCTCCGTGTCTCTTGCGTTTATGACAACTGCAAAGTCATCTGCGTACCCAACCAAGAAAGCGCCTTCAAGGACTGCCATACCGTCGTAGAAAATATTCCAGATATCCGGTCCCAGTATGGAGCCCTGGGCTGCCCCCGATGTTAACTCCAAGCTTCTTGGACCATCGCCAGTACTGTATTCTAGGAAGCGCTCGTTCAGATAGTCCCCGAGTATTCTAAGTACGTACTCCGGGAGGCTGAAATTACGTTCGAGCGCTTCCATTGCCAAGTCCCACCTGACGGTGAAGGCATTTCTCACGTCTAAGGTAGCCAGCAGACACAAAGGGCGAGTTAGATGGTTCCCTCGCTCCGTCATTTTAGAGGCCGTGACGACCTCCTGGACCGCCTGGATGGTGGAGAGGCCGGATCGGAGTCCATACTGGCGGACAGCAAGCTCCCCCGCTGCCCTTAAGGCTGCGTACAGCCGTGGCCTAAGCAGCTTCTCCAGGAGCTTGCCAACTGTATCGAGCATACAAATAGGCCTGTATGACGAAGCAGCATCTGTTGGACCCTTGCCCTTGCTTATGAGCATAAGTCTGGCTTTCTTCCACTGGGCGGGGAAGATGCCCTCCCTGAGACACATGTTGTACATGTTTAGCAAGAGCTTGGGATGACTCTGCGCGACAGCTTTCATTACTTCAGCTGGAACGCCGTCTAGTCCTGGAGCATTCTTGTTCCGCATAGAAGATGCGGCCTTGAGTAGCTTCTCCTCTGTAAATTGCGGCCCTTCAGGTCTACCTGGCGTAGCCGTCTCTTTTCGGATGTGAGAGGAATAGGGTATGGATGATGTTTTCCAACGTCCTCGCATCCTGAGGGATTCCTTGCGTGTTAGTCCCCAGTTTGCGAGTGACGATCTGATACTCTAGGCCCCACGGATTCTGGTCGACATCCAGGCACAGCTCCTTCCAGCACCATCGATGACTGGCCTTGATGGTCCTCTTCAATGCTTTTTTGGTCGCTTGATACTCTGCGGCCAAAGGAGCAGCGTCGAGATCGCGTCTCTTCGCTCGTTGTGCTAAACGGCGAAGTCTTAAGCACTTCTTGCGAAGATCTGCGATCTCGTTCGTCCACCAGTATGCAGGACGCCTATGCCGTTTCATGCACTTCTTGGGCACCGCTATGGCGCAAGCCTTTTGGATGAGCTGCATAGTTGCTGCAGTAATCATCCTGGCTTGTGCAATTGGCGATAGACTCCTGGAGGCAATTTGAAGGGATCTCCAACCTTCATCTATGACTGAAGACAGCCTCTCTCGATCCATTCTTGCAATGTTCCACCGGGGGGGTCGCTCTACCCTTAACGCGGCTGACCTCCTATGGTGTACATAGAATAGGATGTACTGATGATCGCTCCCGGTATAATCCTCGCTCAACTGCCAGCCTGCGACTCTTGCCACAAGATGTTCGTTGGCTAGAGGTACGTCCAGGATCGTCTCTCTGTAGCCTGGCCTGCGGAAGGTCGACGTCGACCCTGTGTTGAGTACTGATAGCTCCAATTTCGAGTCCACCTCCATGATTCGTCTTCCTCTGGAGTCCGGCCTGGCCTCCCCCCATTCGAGAGCTTTGGCATTGAGGTCTCCAGCCACAATGAGATCCCCTTGCATTTCCCGCAGCGCGTCTTCCAGATCGTCCAGTTTGGTCTGGAAGTCGTCTATCCGGTCGTTCGGGGTGAGATATACGCTGACATATGTCGTTAAGTTATGTCTCACCCAAACGTAACCGCGTCCGGATCCTTGATCCGACACATGTATCTGTCGGGGATCTGGGATCCAGATGGCCGCGATGCCCAATTCGTCCGCATACCATCCTAATCCTGCTGTGTCCTGGTACTGTTCGCTGATTAGAACAATATCAGCTTTTTTCTCAGAGCAGAGCTGGGTCAATAGGTGGTGCGCCGTCCTGCTCCTATTGAGGTTACCCTGAAGTACTCTCATCCTTTTTTCCTCTTGTTGGCTGTTGCAAAGGCCTCCTGGAAAGCTTTGCAGGCCCTTGATCCCGCCAGGTGCTTCCTAGTTTCAACACCGCTCTTTGAGCACAAGAAGCAAGTAGGCTCGCTGACCTTGCACTCTTTGATCCTGTGACCCGTGCCGCCACAATAATAGCAAACTTTACTGCGATCAGGTCCCTTGCACGAGGCACTATAGTGACCATAGTCGAGACAGCGGAAGCATCGCCTCACTTCTGCCCTTCGCCTGACCCAGCAGCTGATGAAACCGATCAGCACTCGACCGGCCTTTAAAAGCTGCGCAGCTGCTTCCTCTTCTATTTTGACGAGGGCCAGGCGTTGTTGTCTTGCGTTGGGGTTCGTCATCTTAATTTCGATTTTCCCCGCGTAGCCTGGCAGGGTCCTCTTTAGGGCCTCCTCCACGTCTATCGACGAGGTCCAGCAGTCACAGTCCCGTATCTCCAGTGTAACTCTAGGGACAAGTTCCGTGATGCTGCTCGTTTCTCCTACCTCCTTTCTCAGGGTTTCCGCGAATGAGGCCCTGATATCCACAGTGGTCTTCTTTAGTTCGAGGAAAACCCCTCCGGACCTAGTCTGCCGGACCGATCTGACGTCTACCCTTGCGGCGCTGATCTTGATGCGCTGGTGGATTGCTCCGACCACGTCTACGTAAGATTTACCTTACGCAGGTTTCAGAAGGATCGCGTCCGGCTTTGTTCTCTTTCTCGGCCTGACCTCCGATTTGCTCGACTTCTTTTTCTCCTGTTGTGGGTGTTTCGTCGTCTTTTTTGCTGGTTTCTCCTTATTTCATTTCTTCTTGATGACCTCCGTCCACTTGGTGGCTTCGGTCGTCGTCGCCTCTTGCCTCGGTCTTTTGAGGCTTTCTTTATGTAACTGCGGCGAGCTTGTGGCTACTCTTTTAACTGCTCCAGCATCTGTTATAGAGTTTGCCCTAGGGCTTTGAGAAAATCGGGCGAGGGTCCTCGCTCCCTTATAGACCTTTTTTCGAGATTTATACATAAACTCGAGACTGACAATAATGTCCTCAAGTTCTGGGAGCCCTTGCTTAATAGCGTTGTTCACGTTAGGCTGTCTAGTAATAGCTGACTTCATTTTGACAAGGAGGGATTTCGCTTGCGTGAATTTCTCACTCTCTCCATCTTAGGTTGTCCCCTTCGCAGGCTGGATAGGTCCGGTCAAGCCGGAGAGCTGAAAGCCATCAACGGCTCTGGCAGCCTTCTGCCACTCCTCCAAGTGGTCTTCGTCATATTTTACCCTTCCTGGTACTTTCGTCACACCGGAGGCCAGGTCGCCTACCTGTGGTGCACTTCCCGATGCATTATCCTGAGCTGAGGCCAGGTTGCCTACCCCAAACTCCCGGCAGTTGCTGGTTGACGACGGCGGGTGGCCTGCCCAACCACCATCAGACACCGCCGTGGCGTGGGTGTCCCTCCCACGCCCGCTATTTTCTTTCGCTTTACTATCCATCATGAGTAATGTACTTTTGGGAGGCAAGCTTCCCAATAGAAAGGAAAGGAACGGAAGGAAGCTAGAGAGTAAGAGAAAGAATAGAAAATGATATGATAAGAAAAAAAAGGAAGGAATAGCCGTTCAAGAACATTCATATGCCATTCACACAGTCCCTTTTAGTAGCCTCTTACGACAAGCAGGTAGTACTGTGGGAGTATTCTACTTCCCTCTACCCACTGGGGGGCGGGGTAACCCACTGGGGAGAATAATAATAATAATAATAATAATAATAATAATAATAATAATAATAATAATAATAAATATAATAATAATAATAATAATAATAATAATAATAATAATAATAATAATAATAATAATAATAATAATAATAATAATTATTATAATAATAATAATAATAATAATAATAATTATAATAATAATAATAATAATAATAATAATAATAATAACAATAATAATAATTAGTATATTAATAATAATAATAATTACAGGAATAATAATAATAACAATAATAATAATAATATTAATATTAGTAATAATAATAACATTATTAATAATAATAATAGTAATAATAATAAGAATTATAATAATAATAATTATAATAATAATAATAATTATAATAATAATAATAATGATACTAATAACAGTAGCAATAATAAATACAATAATAATAATAATAATAATAACAATAATAATAATTATAATAATGATGATGATCATGATGATGATGATGATGATGATAATGATGATGACGATGATGATGATGATGATGATGATGATGATGATGATGATGATGATGATGATGATGATGATGATGATGATGATGATGAGGATGATGATGATAATAATGATAATAATAATAATAATAATAATAATAATAATAATAATAATAATATTAATAATAATAATAATAATAATAATAATAATAATAATAATAATAATAATAATAATAATAATAATAATCAGAATAATCAGAATAATAATAGTAACGATAATAATATCTATTATAATATTAATTATACTGATATTGACAGTAATAAAAAAAAATACATGATAATAATAATAATAATAATAATAATTCTAATATATTAATAATATTAATAATTGCAATATTGATCACGAAAAAAATATTTATAATGTTAATAACGTTAGTAGTAGTTATACTAACGATACTAATAATAATAATTATAATATTCACGATAATAATAATATTAATACTATAAATAACAATAACTATACATCTAATAATAATAATATGAAGAATAAGGATAATAATAATAATAATTTTTTTTCTTTTTTTTTAGGTAGTAAGTGAAATTCATTTATGTACATGGGCGACTTGTCCTTACTGTCGAACTCATTTCGATGCATCGACTCAAACATTTGCTACTGCTGCTGGACACCAGCCCGGACACGTTTACTATATTACTTCGTGATAGGCTTGTTTTCTTCGCCCCTTAGGCTCTCTTCTGTCTGTTCCTACTTCTTTTTTCCTGTTTACCTAGCAGTTTCTATCTAGGTCACTTTTTTTTTATCGAAGGATTTTCTGCACCCAGTAGGATATCAGGCTCCAGCATTCCTGTGTTCGGTGCATGATCTCTAATATTACCTCAGAAGTCACTTGTCCGATTTTCATCTACAACTCTCGCTTGCGTTGCGCCCAACGGTCACAGTGGAAAAATTTGCTCCAGATCTTCTTTTGTTCCTGGTCAGTACATACACTTTTGTGTTCTTCCCCGTTCCATCTTATATAAGTAGGCTCGGAAGTATCCCTGTTCGCTCGGGAAATGTGTTAAGTAATAATTGGTTTCACCATGCCGGCCCTCCGTCCACTTCTTCACATCTTTGATCAATATCGCGATCAAGCGTACTCTCGACTCGTGTTCCCAGGACATCTGCACATAAAAGGTCTTCTCTTTCTCCTCTTTGCATGTTACCGCCTTTTCAATCTCGGTTTTCCTGAGGTGCACAGCATAACTTTCTTGCGCCAAGAGCGCAATTGGTATAACTACATCGATCGTTAGTATGGCTGATTCGGACACCGTCCTGTACGTAAAGACTATCCTAAGCGCTGCTCTCCTCTGTACCTGCGTCATGCGGTCCTGGTACGACTCCTTGCTAAGCAAGCCCGCCCACACTTTAACACCGTAGAGGAGGACTGACTTTACCGCGGTCATCAGCAATCGGCACTTACTGGCATTGGGCCAGGTGACGTTAGCCATAAGCCTACTAGAGGAAGTAACTCCCTTCGCAGATTTATTCGCAGTTTGCTGGATCTGCGCCCCGAAGCTCAGCTTGCAGTCGATCATGATACACAGATACATGATTGCAGGCTTGGACTCCACTGCTATGTCTCCAACTTGCAAAGGGTGGGTGATGTTTATTCTCCTCTTTGCAATAATAATAATATGACAATATCAGATTTTTTCGAGAGCTAGCAGTTAGCCGTTGTCTGCCATCCAGCTGTTTAACATTCACATGACATAGTTTAACCTTAGTTGAGCCATTTCAACATCTCTTCCCGCAAGTTAAAGCAGTGATGATGTCTGCATAACCCACAAGGAGCTTCTCTTCTGGCATTTCGGTCCTCAGCACACTGTCGCATGCCACGATCCAGAGGTCCGGCCCGAGGGTGGGTCCCTATGCCGCTCCGGCCATAACATTCATACTTCTCTGCTTCTGTGTAGTCTAATACAATAGCATCCGATCTTTCAGGAAGTCATTAAGCATACGCTGGAGATACTTCGGTACATGGAAAATATGTTCCATCACAATCATGATATCACACCATCTTGCGGAGTTAAAATCGTTTTGCACATCATACGTCACCAGTAGGACTACTCGACGCGAGTACCAGTTGTAGTCCTTCGCTTTCCGCACTGCTTCCATCAACACCTAGATCGCGTCGATTACCGTTCTCCTCGCACTGAATCCATACTGTTTCAGTACAAGACGCCGGGGGTCTCAATCGTGGGCTTCAACCTTGCCTTTGTCATCTTTTCTAGCAGTTTGCCAGTAATGTCGTGAATGCATAACGGCCGATAGTATGATGGCAGCCATTGGTCTTCTTTGCCCTTACCGATGAGCATGAGGCGCGCTGTTTACTGTCGTGATAGTAAAACTCCAGATGTTAAGCAGGCATTGTATGCTTGGTAGACCTGGACAGTAGACCTGGATTATGCTGTAGTACGATTTTCAGCACATCGTTTATAATGGCAGCAGGACCTGGTGCCTAGTTGTTTCGTTAGGTTCGAGCCGTTCTCTCTAGCTCTTCTGTGCTGAAGGGGGGGACAATCCACTACTTGATCAAAGAATATCTCCAGCCTGGTAGAGTGTGCCGGGAAGAATGTAACCACGATGTTTTTCATGGTGGTCGTGTCCATGCCTTGGGTAGATTTCAAGGCAACGTGATTCTGGGTTTCAATTTTGTAGCACAGTCCCTATGGGTCAGTACTGATATTCTCTGCCAACATTCTCCAGCAGTCGACCTTGCTTCCTTTCATTGCACAGCGCATTTGCTCTTTCACGGCCTGGTGGATTCGCAAGCTGTAACGGTGTGGCGGATTGTAGCTCCGACAAGTGTTTAGGTCGCTGCTTCCCCTGTTACTTCGGGTCCTTCGGTAACTTCTATTTCCTGGGATATTGTTATAATGGAGTTTCCGGAGTCCAATTTTTGAACGTTCTATCTGCGTAAAGTTGCTTTGTCTTCTCTGCCTCTTTGTAAATCACCATGTACACTAAAGGGAATGTACTGGTGATCGCTTCCAGTGTAGCCCATGATCATCTTCCTGCCCTCGATCCGGGGTAACAGGCCATCATTTGCGAACGAGATACCCGGAATCGTCTCAATGTACCCGCAGCATCGGAAGGTTGTGGTAAGACCAACGATTAAGACATTGTGCCCTGTTCTGGTCGCCATTTCCACGACGTATATGCCTATCTCGATAGGTATATTTGGTGCGGCAATCCCCACTCTACTGCCTTAGCATTGAAGTCGCCGACCACGAAGATGGTCAGATACCTGCTGTGTTCCGAACCTCTTCCTCCAGCATGTGAATTTTTTCCCGGAATTCGATGATGAATTCTTTTGGTGTGAATTATCTAATAAAATAAATCACCTCCCTTTTAACTGGACTTTTAATCCATATGAAGCCACGGCGCCTTACATGACTCTCTACTGGTATCTTGCTTGACTCCAAGATCCAGATGGCCGCTGTGCCCTCAGGATCAGAGAACCATAAGGCCGATTTCTTGTCCTTATATTGTTCACTTATCAACAGCAGATCTGCCCTCTTCTCTTGGGCCAGCTGATACAGTAGCTCGTTAGCAATTTCTTCATTTTTCTGTAATATTCGCTCTTGTTCATGTTTGCTTGTAGTTTTCACACCTGTTCATGTATGCTTATAGTATTCGCGTCATCTCAGGAGCTTTTTGGCCTTATTGAGAGCAACCTTGAAAATGCTACGACGCCCCGATCCAGGAGTGTGGTAACGCTCGAGTCTTTCTTGTCCTTTATCCGTCTTCGTACATAACATGCAGTTTTCCGAGGTCAGGCACTCTCTCGCTTGATGGGTAGCTTCACCAGATTTGAAGCGCAGCTTGCTTCTGTCCGGCCCCTTGCAGTTCTGGGCGGAATGCCCATATCCAAGGAATCTATAGCACATGGAGACTACCAAACTCTGCTTTTTTCTGCAATTAACCCATCCTTAATATGCTCTGACTTTAAAAGTTGACTTGCTCCTTGCCCCCTCACCTCTATGATGGTCATTTTGAGCACGCTCTAGTTTGTCTTCGTTGTCCAAATCTTCATATTTTCTTCGGAGCCTTCACATATGTCACTCCTGGTCGCTTTTTCCACTTCTTGGGAAGTGGTTAAGTTTTCAAGACCTCTAATCTCTAACTTCACGATAAGTTCCAGATGGCGGTCTGTCGCCTTGTCCCTTAGCATGTTTCTAAGCGTGTCTCCGAAGACGGCATTGTCTTTAGTTCCCCTGCCCAATTCCTGAAGAATATCCCCTGGCCTTGTTTGGCGGATCGATCTCACCTCTGTCTACGAATCCTCCGGTTTTGTTCTGTTACGTATTTCCCGAGCACGTCCGCATAGGTTCTTCCTCCATTCCGCTTGGTCAGGAGAAACTTTGAACGACTTTGTATATTCGTGTCTTCGTTTGGCTTTTTTTGCCTCTCTCACATTCGGCGGGTACCAGAGTGGGAGCCTTCGCTCGTTTCTTCTTTTGTTTCCGTCGTTTTTGGCTATCTCCATCCAGGTAAGAGTGGGAGTTGCCTCCTTTTTTTCTTTTTTCCGACATTCTCCTCTACCGGACTCATCGCTGCTCGTTTTTTGTTGGCTTCCTCTATTGTTTCATCATGGGATACCATACCACGTGCTTTATCAGACGCCGTTTGTGTGTGTTGATCCCTTATAGAAAACTCTGTGACCTTCCTCGAATTTCGCAGGTGAGCAAGGAAATCCAGGGCGTCTCTAAAGTGTACGGTGTCTTTCTTGATACAAGCACTGATATTTCTTTGCCGCTGGGTTTCGTGGTCTTCAATATCTCCTTGCATTTCGCTAATTTCTACTCTTCTTTTATCCTCGTACTCGCGATGTGGTCATCGATGAAGAAATCCTTCAAAACAATTTCACGCAATCCTCTATTTCTGGCCTAGCCACTTTATATTCTTTTTCTTCCTCCCTATCTCTTTTTCTTCTAAGATATCTCTTTAAATGGCATTTGCGGTGGTGTACGCCCGACTTTTGTCTTTCTCCCGAAAGGAATGTTGCTGCTTGAAGCTTCTGATCCGATACCAACCAAAATAGCCACCATCATAGGAATGCAGTAGTAAGATGACGACGGCTGCGGGACTGCTTGTGCATGCTGCACAGCCGACGCTACTGGGGATGCTTCCCCCTGCAGCGTATCTCTTTTTCTTCCTCAATGCTGCCCATAATAGTTTTCTTATTCTGAATGTCCGTCCCATAGCCATTTTTGGTACATCCCAGGAATACCACGTAGTCTTCATATCTATAGGTCGCCTCCCTATCCGCCACCTGGGAAGGCCCCCTATGGGGGAATAGCAACCCCACATAATAGTAATATTAATAATAATAATATTAATATTATTATATATAATAATAATATTAATAATTAATAATAATGATGAAAATAATAATAAAAATACTGATAACCGTAATAATAATAAGAATAATGAAATTAATAATAATAATAATCTTAATAGTAATAGTAATAATAATAACCTTAATAACGATAAAAATAATATTCATGATAATGAGCAAAAGATAAATAGTAATAATAATAATAATGAAAATAATAATAATACCAATATCTATGACAATAACAACAAAAAATATAATAACAATAAAAATAACAAAACAGTGTTAAAACAATAATCAAAACAATAACAACAATAATAACAATAACAAAATAATAAAGAAAACAATACCAATAACAATAAGAATAACAATAAAACATTAGTAATAATAAATATACTAAAAGTAACAATAACAATAACTATTACAATAAAAATAGTTGTAATAAAAATATTAATAACAAATACAATAACAACTACTTTAATGAAAGAATAAAAATAATTTTAATAATAATAGAAACAATACCCCAAAAAAACAATAATAATAATAATAATAATAAACATAACAATAATAATATGAACAATTATAATAATACCAATAACATTAAAACTAATAATAATATTAACAATTATATCAATACCAATAACATTAAAACTAATAATAATACTAACAATAATAATAATAAAATAAAAAATAATAACAAAAACAATAATAACAATAATAATAACAATAACAACAATAATAAGAATAACAATAACAAAAACAATGGCAATAACAATAAAATAAGAACAATAATAAGAATAACAATAACAAAAACAATGGCAATAACAATAAAAATAATAATAACAATTAAAATAACAATAAAAATAACATAAACTTAAAGATAAGAATAACAATAATAATATTATTAAAAATAATGATAGTGATAATAATAATAAGAATAACAATATTAATAATAATTACAACATTACTAATCAAATCAAAAACAATAATAACAACATGATTAAATGTAATATAACAATAACATTAAATATAACAATATTAATAATGGTAACAGTAATAATAAATAACAGAAACATTAACAATAACAATAACAATAACAATAATAGTAACAATAAAAATAATTATAATAATAACATTAACATTTTCAACTACAATAACAAATACTATAACAATATCAAGAATAATAACAATAACAAG